CGAAGTTCCACTTAAAGTTTGCCGCACGATTTTCTTTTTTTCCGTCTATTGAACTTTGAACATTATTAAAGCTAAACGACCAAAAAATTCAAGAGACCTCAACACTTCGTCATCTAGCCCTAACGTTCAAAGTTCAATGAAACAGCAAACAAGAAATGGTAAAGAGAAAAAAAATTTCAATTTTCAAGACTACGATGAATCGAGTCGCGAAAAAAAATTTTCCTCTATAAAAGCACTCTCGCCATGCCGACAGCCAGGTTAAAAACTTTACGCTCGAAAACGAGACGAGAATAGATTGTTGCGTGACGAAGTTACGAAGTTCGAAGTATCGACAATACTTCTAAATATCGTCGTCTGGTTACGCTCTTCGTTGCGTGTACCAATTGTCCGCGAGACGACGAGTCCATGCACAGTTTGCGCCGATTAAACGTACACCCTTCCGCATACTCGACGAACCTCCGTACAACGAGATTAATCGGCCCTTCTTCTGTACGCAACGCTGCTTACGCAACGTAACGCGGCTGCGAAAGTAAAAGAAAGAGGGAAAGAGCGGGAACAACGAGTTGGACAGAAGTCTGGAAGAATGACAGGCACACGGATGCACGAGCGAGAAGATCGACGCGACAAAGGAACAGAAAGAGACAGAAAGAGACGAAGAATATACCGACGTATGCCTACGAGAAGTACTCGTACAGTGCAAGTACAAGTACTCCTATATATACATGTTCTAATGGGACATCCTTTCATCTAGATTCTAGTTTTGTCTGTCTTGTCCAAATTTTGTAGCCGTAACGCAAGTGTTGTACCAAATAAATATTTCAAGGAACGTATGTCGCCAGTTTCTCGACCGTCGAGAATATTACTGCTTACGTAATTGAAGAAATTTATATAATTTAATGAATGCAATTTATATTCGTTGCAACGCTTAACAAACATTGTAAAACCATTTAACAAAAAATGATGTTATAAATATCCTTAATCGACAAAGAAGTTGATCAAGTGATTCGTACGATTAATTATTGTACGAATTAATTATTGTATAAATGCAACAATAAATAAAACGTGCACGACAACGCTCTCTGTAAGAGAAACGTCGTAAGGGAGGGAAACGACGAAAGAAGGAAAGAAGAAAGGGGAAACCAACGAGCAAGAGAGAGAAAGAGAGAGATTAAATTGACGGGCAATAGAAGGAGCATTACATACCGTCCACAAAGCATGACGTGTGGAATAAACAGAGGAGCGCCAGAGCGAGAAAGCTCGCTATGCCGCCGTCGTACGCGCCTCTCATCTTCACTCAAATTCTCCTCGTGATCGTTGTTGTTGTGTTGTTGTTACTGTTGTTGTTGTTGTTATTGTCGTCGTCGTCGTTGTCGTCGTCGTCGTCGTCCTCGTCGTCCACGCACGGCCTCGCTACCCTCTCTCGCGAAAAAGATTTTCGCGAAAGCGGCCGTAGCTCAATGGCGACGACAGTAAACGGCGACACGAGGATCGCGATCGACGTAGCCACGGCGGTATCTCGATGCCCGGAATATCATCTTCTTGTCGACGTGGGGCTAAGGCGAAGTTCCCCGTCGACGGAACACTTGTCACCGTTGATCGCCTCTCGCTCTCATGCGAGCGCACACGCGTGCACAAACGGAACGCAGCACAGTGGTTCTTCGTTACTCGATTTTCGTATTGTTTTTCCTTCGTTCCTCTCCACGTCCCGCTCTCATCTCGTAACTCATGGTATTCGCGCTAACGAGGTCCCTCCTTTTTCTCTCTCCGCCTCACTCTCTCCCTCTCTTTTTTCTTTCTTTCTTTCTTTCTTTCTTTCTTTCTTTCTTTCTTCCTCTCTCGCGTTTTTCGTTTACCGCGCCGAACAATCGAACACCAACTACGCCGCGCACTTTACACCGTGAACGATCGAAACGAAGGAAACGAAAGATCGCTTTTCCCTTTCTTTTCACTCTTTTTCTTTCTTTCTTTCTCTCTCTCTCTCTCTCTCTCTCTCGCGTGCGTGCACTCGGTCGTTTCACGCGAAGAGCCTCGTTGCCCCTCGTCGTCTACGCCGCGCAAGGCGAGCCGCCATTTTCCTACTGTGCTGATAGGCCCGGCCTATTATCCCTGTTGGCCAACAAAAAGAGAGGCTTCGCGCCGACAAGGAGAAAACCAACAGCGAACGATAATGATTCACTGACACTTGGACGAATGGTTCGATCTCGCGCGAATCACGCGGCACCAGCACTTTGACATCATCGTCCAGCCCGTTATAACGTAACCTCTGGAGTACTGTCACGCGGACTTCCACTCGCGAATTTCCACAGCGAAACGCAGAGCGACTCGTGCTGTTGCTACTGCTGCCGCTACTGCCGCCGCCGCTGCTGCTGCTGCTGCCTCCGCTTCTGCAACCAGTAGTTCGTTCAGCGGCGCCATCGCTCTTCCAGACCAGGGCCGTAAGTACCGGTATTGTGGCTGTGACAAATTATCTAAACTTTCTCACTTTGTCTTCTCTATCTTTGTTCCATCTTCGCAGACGAGTCAAGGAACTATCGTTTTAGAGAAAGTTGATCAATTTAACAATCATTTTTCTATCGATTACTGCTGTATTTATGATACTCTTCAAGCCTCTGTGTAGCAACTACACTTGGAAATTTATTCCGAATTGAAGATAACGACACCAGCGGACCAGAGAAAGTTCCTGTGTATTTTTTGCAACCGGGTTCTTCTAATTTTCGTCGATCCCGTGGAACGGAATGTTGAGATACTTGTCTAAAAATAGTACAGTATTTCGCTTGAGGAATGTTAAAGGGAAGTACGTGTATTAATAAAGGTCAGACGGCAAAGACGGTAAATTGAAAAATTTTCATCAACGTTTATTTATAAATCTCGTGTATATAACCACAAAAAAGTAAAGATATTATGTTTGGAATAAATCAATAGTAAATTACTCGTTTATACCAGTAATTGGGTACAATAAATATAGTTTTTGTAAAATTATCACGAATATTAATAATTCGTTACCATCCAAGATTTTGCTTTTTATAAATGATATATAATACAAAACAACTGATGCAACAAATATACCAAATGAGATGCACAATATAATATAATATAGCACATATAACGTTGATTAGTGCTTATTTTGTTTCATTCCTTCTTAATGTTATTACCACGAAAAAATGTAAGATTTTAAAACTATATTTCTCGCAATAAAACAGAGAAATTTTTACGATTTTTACAACAATTTTAACAATAGTAATATCATTAAGAACGAATTATTTATTCTTGTAAAAATATTATCTAATAAGACTAATATGACGTATTTGTAATTGAACGAAAAACTAAAGGAACAGTTTTCCAAAAAATGCAATAAAGGAATATGGAAGTATGAAAACTATAATGTTCCACATAATTACTAACACATTCTTTTAAAAGTAAAATATTGGTGTAAGCATTGTACTGCATCATACAATGTGATAGAGTAATTAATAAAGAGTCGCAATCACAATGTATTAGTATCAAAGGCTTGCAATACATAAATATACGTAATATATATTGCACAAAAAGTAGAGGAATATTTCTCTTTTGTTTTTTTAAAAATAGGATTTTTCGCTGTAAATAGCATAAATGCCCATAATCGATAAATTCATAATAATACTTGTAATAGTGGCAGAAATATAATATTACAGCACGTAGTGTCGTCATAATTATAATAATTGAAGATATCTACACATCAAGCTATGTCAAATATATATAAGTGTTTGATCCAACTGACATTGTCGATTATTACAAAAGATTAAAACAAGCAACGTGTATTAGATACACATATGCTCTCGAAGAGGCGTAAATGGCTTTGAACATTCATCCCAATCTTTCAAAATCCTGTAATTCTACATATTCCGTGAATTTGGAAAAGTTAAAAGTTAACTTACTAACTCACGGAGTAGGTAAAAAATGCTTCAAGCAAAAGCAAATACTTTTTGTGTCAAAATTATAAAGTCGATAATATAAAATCTAGCAAATTTTAGAACTTTAATCATTTACAAGATTTTAAAAGCATCCGTATGATAATTAAAA